ATACTTTGGCATAGAATTTCTTACTTTGAAACCTTCTATTTGGCACAAAGAAACAGGCAGATGGCCACTTTGAATTCTGAACTTTGAATCCTTCATTGCTGGAAAATTTGTTCCTGGCTTATCCTAGACAGCTGGATTTTAGGCACCCTTTGATTTTTTTCACAGTGCCACTGATTTTGAGACACGACTGGGCTTTGTGGAGAATGAAAAGAGCTGATTAAAATATAGATGATTTGGTATCTGATCATCCACAGCAAGGCAGGTTCACTGATGGATGGGAAACCACTAGAAGACTTTTTGACCTGGATTTTTTTTTTAAAGTTTTGGTGGCAACCTTCCTCTCTGGACTCCTGAGGCCATCAAAACTGAAGGTTCCTGAATTCCCTTTTCACTGGTTGTAAGGCCAGATCTTCTCTTGCCATTCCCAAGATCAAATTGTGAGTCAAAAGTTTGTGATTTCAAGAGTGTTTTGCTGGGTAAAAGAATGAGGAAAAAAAACACTCCCTGCACACAATGGGCGACTTTTGACAGTTTTTCGATAGGCAGGGTGGGAAAAGACCCTGCAATTGTTGAGATAAAGTAATTTTCTGTACCTCAAAATAAACATGACAGCAGTATCTGTACAATTTAGGCGGGCGGTTTCTTAAATTCCTAAACTCCAGATCAGACGTGGCTATTATGATAGTGGCCCAGAGGCTTTTATTTTTCTTAAAAGCCAGTTTAATGATCTAAAAACCTTCACAATATGTAGATCTGTTTTGTTTTCTTTTTCCTTTTTCCTTCTTTTCCCAAGGTCACGGTGACATTCATATCATTTATTTCCGATCCTTTGGACATTGATGAGAACTTGGAACACATGTGCAAATGCAAACCTACACCTAATGATAGTTTGTAACTCAAGGTATAGGCACAAATATATATGTTCAAGAGGAACAAAATCATAATTGCAAAAACAGAGCTTTGCAAACAGCCTACATGCATAAATGCATACTTTGGGAGATATGCACCTGAAAAATATATCATGCAAATTCCCTTTGGATAAATATCTATTAAAGTGAGGAAATGGGTCTGCTCACTATTATTAGAATAAAAAAATGAAGAGAAATTAAAAAAAAACACATCTGCATTGGCCAGACATATTTTGAATGATCTCACTGAAGAATTTCGTAATTAGGGCAAATATTTGCACCTTAAAAACCTTGCAGGGGAAATATCCTTGCTTTCCTTCTAAAAATAACAAAGTCTTTCAGGAAACTATGCAATCT